AATAATAATAATAACAACAACAACAATAATAATAATAATAATAATAATAATAATAATAATAACAATAATAATAATAATAATAATAATAGGACCGTAATTAATACAACGGTCATACACGATATCTGACTATGCTAATAGTTAACGTTCCTGATAAATACTATAGAAATAATTGAATTTTGTTCGTGTAATCTCACATGGGCATTTCTTAGTATTGTTATCTGTTCATTTGTAAGTTACTATGTTCGCAAATGTTCCGATGACTTGCAACAGTTAGCAACGGTTAATTTTCATCAGTTATGGATGTCAATGTTCACCTATGGTTTTTTGTATAATCAAATATACGCGCGATAAGATCTGCTCGACAACGTTAAATCCTGTGTACTTTAATGTTATATTTTACATGATCATCGCGATGTAACAGTAACAGATAGCAATGTATTTTTATGATGTAAAAATTTTATAATACCCAACAATTATAATCTTTTAGAATAATAGAATAGGTATTAATTGAAAACTAGAAGTTTCAAGCTAGTAAATTTCTTTGTTTTAAATCGAAGTTTTTTAGACTTTAACATTGCATTTTTTTCCTTCTTAAGCAGTATCTGATAGTAATTTTTTTTATACATTTTGTTACATAATTTATTAAATTCATTTTGTTTATGAAATTGATATATATTTAGGAAACTGTATTGGATTATTCTACTTAAGCAGTATAAATTCTTCAAATTATTAACAACTAATACAATAACAATAAATCGGGCATCCTTTGAATGCCCGAAACTATTCTGTAAAACACTAATTTCGAATTCTTCTCTGTTGTACCTTGTCAATTACATTTAATATTTATCTCCTAGTACAAATTGATAATAATGAATTAAATTTTACCTAATTCTATATTATCAAACTAACAAGCTGTAAGCTGAGACATTTTATACATCTTTTATTACTTACATGATCATTAGAATAATTTTCTTCTTACCAAACTTATTGGTGGTACCATTCATGTTTTTCTATACCAGGGTAAAGTTTTGTATCATGTATACAACGTTTTAGACGATTGTGTAAATATATACTTATATATTTTTAAATATACTATAACAAAATGGTACAAAATACAACAAGCGTTTTGGCAATATGGTCATTGTTAAGTTGACCATGGTATACCCACAACAATTTTTATGCACGTATCTGTATACTATGTAACATAAGTTAACGTCACTTTTATATAATAATTACCTACTAACGATTATTTCAACGCGCTGCGATCTTATATGACAACGGCAGTAAAAGATTGACTTATATCAGAATAAGATCGACGAATATTCTTTTTTATGTATGATTAATCAATTGGTCATTTTGTGCGTCTTCATTTTCCGCTGTTGCGAACGAAGGTAATTCTGCTTTCGTAGCTAATTGCAAAGCATGGAACCATCTGAAAATTTAATGAATCTTGTGAATGATGGAATTTGATGGCATTATACACAAGATCTATATATATATATATATATATATATATAGAGAGAGAGAGAGAGAGATACACATGATATACATGAAAATAACAAAACTTACTTTTGTTTATCTTCATCCGATAATGCTTGTAAATAGTAACTTTTTCTAGAATGATGCATTTTAATTGCTTTAAGTCTATCTTTGAAACTCAATGGATCTTCGTCGGATAACTTAATACCTTCCGTAACAATAAAACCGGGCATAGGAGTCGCCGTAAGAGCCGTATTTTCAGATTCAGATTTAAAAGTGTACAAAACGAAATCTGCATGTAACGCAAACCATCGTCGTGTCCAAGGTTTACTCGGTTGCGTTTTTAACATAAGATATCCAGATATAACGGAAGATGCGTTTGCTGAAACTTGTAATAAACTTTGTACAGGTCCGGACGGAGATGTTGAAGACGGTGACTTGACAAGTGGTTGCGTTAAAGTAGCATAACAAAGACGACAAACTCTCATGTTTTTATTATCCTCGAATAATAGCTTCTGATTTGAACATTTGCCGCAAATAACCTATAATAAGCAAAGAGTATTGTATGAACGAAAAAGAAAAAAGCAAAAGAAAAGAAAACAATAGATACATTTAATTGCAAATTCGTCACTAACATTCGTCGATAACATTCTTTTCATTCTGTTCATTCAAGTTCCTATTGTTATGAAACGTTACTAAAAAAAAGTACTTACTATTCCACAAGCTCTACAATTGTGTTTTCTTTTCATTACGGAAAAAATGACCTCACATATCATACATCTCGATACATCATCAGTCTTTACAACAAGTGTTTTAACATCACCAGTTTTTAGGCTTGCTTTTCTTCTCATCATTTCTTGCATAGTAACAAACAACGCATCAAGCCAAGCTGCTTTCTCTTCAGCCGCATGTGTATACAATTCAACGTTTTTATCTTCATCCCTGATGTAAAATGTGTTTGCCGTTTCTAGATTGTCACCTTCAATCACTTGCAAATTTTCGATCAGGAATTTAGCTCTCAATCTATACAATGGTCCGGGTATCAATCTTATTGAACAAAGTAATAATAAATCGCTAAACTGCAAAGCAAAAAAAAACAAAGAACATTTCCATCACTAAAGTCTAATATACGGTATCAATTAATTGAGTATTTGTTACACGTCTCAGTCGACAGGTTTACTCATGAATAATCACGTTGTGTTTAAGGTATGCACACTATTGCTTTTTACGTACCAGAAACAAATGCCTTTCTTGATGATCGCCGCTTCGTGCCGAAATTTTAACGATACGACCCTCTTTTACAAGTTCCCGCGTAGCACTGACTAGATCCGTTGTATCGTATATACTCTCTTGTATTTCAAGAAGCTTTTTGAACTTGTCAATCTTCTTCATTGCATCATTCGTGTGATTAGCAGCAGTAGATACTAATTCCAACGCCTCTACGAGAAAGAAAGCCATGTCTGTTCGTTTGATTCTACGATTACAATCGTCGCCATTTACGGACGTCTATTTAAACGTGCCCCGTTCAATAGACGTTTAAATAGAATCCGATCCTTGCTAGATGCGCATTATTTTATGCGTAAGTAATTCATCGAATCGAATGGAATTCGAAAGATCCTTACTTTTAGTATCCTTGTAATCGGCACTTTCTTCTGCGAGGTTTTTCAGATAATCTTTTAGAAGAAGCTCGTATCTTGGTAATCTTTGTATAGGGCTCAACATGTGATGAGGCAATGATAACTTGGCACACTCGTCTAATTTTTGAATCTCGTTGATGATGGCAGCAAATCTAGCGACTTTAATTTGAAGCGTCTGTATCAAGTTCATGGCGTAATCGAAGTTTTTTACATATTCTGTGTACATCTTAAGAAAAGGCGCAAAATTTTTCATTATATCTCCGATTCTAGGATCTGATTCCCAATTTTGCATCCTCTCTTGAAGTTGGGGTAACAGGAAATCGTTGTGGAACTTATAAATTGATTTGATATTAGAGAACATATGTTGAACAGTTTCTGGAGGAAACATAGGATGTGCTCTATTTTCTTGATCGATTTTGAATTGGAATACTTGATCGATCAATCGTAAAACATTAACATAATTCTTTTCGGTAACCAATAATTCTTCGGCAACTCGACGTGCATTTTTCGTTTTGTAATCCGAATAAACTGTATTATCAACAGACTTTAATTCTAAAACTGAGTCGTCGGTATGATCCACGACTATTGCGGAATCTGTTTCCGATGATTTTGTACCTTCGGATTCTTCATCACTTTCGGATTCGCTTATCGTATATGATTCCACCGCATATCGACGAGAATTTCTATCCGTGGTTAAATATCTGTACATTAAGAAGCTTTATAAGACATTTTTGTCCAATAAGTTACAGTCATTATTGGCTGTTAGCTTACCTACTGCTCCTATATTCTAACACACTGTGCGATACTCGTACGAAAGGTATTTCCATCGAATTGTCTTCATTTTCTTCAATATCAACATGGTCTCTTGAGCTTCCTGCAGACATTACAAACGAACGAAATCGTGGAAAACCTCCGAAAGAAGCTATTTTACGGAATGAATGCCCTTCATAATCCTCCTGTTTCTTTTCTTCTACTATTACATTAGAATTGCTGGAATCTTGGCATTCCTTTAATTCGTTTAAATCCACTGCTTTATCCATTGGTTCATTAGGTTCCAATTCAGTGTAAAAAGTGCTGTTCGATGTTTGCGTTTTTGATGCAAACATCTTAAATGCTTTGATAAAATCACTTCTATCTTTTGATTTCAAAAATGGTCTTATTCTCCAATGTGGAACATCTATTGATCGATCCTCTTGCATTCTAAATTCAAATTTATTAGTTAATTGATTAAATTAACGTTAAAAATTAATAATTATAGTATACATTGAAAGATCCATGAAACAAAACATTATTTTACATCGATAATCTCAGAAAAGAAAGAAAGGATGCTTATTGTTAGTTACCTCTTCGTAATATAATTATTTCATTCAACAGATACATTGCACCGTGAGTTAATCGAAACCAACATCGATTAACAGCTAAGCTTATGCCACTCTTGTTGACTATACATTTATTAAACATGAGTGTACATGTATATCATTGTACATTGTTATGAAACAATGAAACACTGTAACGACTCTCTTACAATATCGTGATTTTGCATGAGACCAAATATAGTGGAATCTTCCAGTGAGAAACCTAAGACCACTTAAAGCAGAACCGTATCAATTTTGCACACAACTGCTATTTTAATGTCTGGTTTAAATATTCTCTAATAACAATTCTCTTCATTTTTGAATCTGCATCAAAAAGATATGAATATTTTATCGGTAACTATTAATTATAATTAACAGGTGAAGATGGTCAAAATTTAATTACAATTCTTAATTTTGGTCCACTTTGACCTGTTTATGATTAATAATGTGGGTTAACGATATAGATATTTTAATATAGTTGAATACACCTTAGAACAACGAAATATGTGCTATCTAAACTTATATGCATATTCATGATACGTGACGCACCTGGATCTAGTACCTTATGCATTTTTTTCGTACGATTCTCCTAGATGTATTCGTATATTTAACAAATACAAATTGCACATTGAACAAAATGCTATTTCAAAAAGTGAAAAATAAGTAACGTTTATTTCTTCGTTTTACACGAATGCATAGGTATGACAGAATTGACCAATAAAGAGAGAGATTAGGTCAGTAATAGAGAACCGTTCAAAAACGGATCGTCACGCGTTCAAAGGGATATATTCACTATCTAGTACTATTTTTCTTGAGAACGATATGTTAACGAAATATATCAAGACTGTGATGGACGAACCAACCATAAGAACTGTAAATCAAGCTCAAAGTATGAAACTATATTAAAACCTTAGGAACATACAACTATAATTCGGAGGAGGTTATCGATTACGTCTTTTCGTTTCACGATGTAGCTTCGAAGAAAAAATTTATAATCGAAACTGATTATCCAATGGTGCGTAAAATTATTAAGTATCTTCATCTCAGTATAACTTACTAAATATTATTTTCACCTTATTTAATATGTATTACCCGTGAAGAAGTTTCGCGGGTATACGAGTTTATGGGTAATATTTCCCAAGATTCTTTGGTATCGAATTGCGAGGCTGCGCGAGACACTGAAAGTTAAATTCGCTGTACGAGAAAGAAAGATAAAGAAAATCGGAGAGAGAAACAAAAGACATTCGAATTTTATTCAACTTTACTTTATCTTACATCATTGGAGATCATTTGGATTCTGACTTATAATTTATACTTATTCCAAGTCAACAAATGGCGAATTTCCCGTATATACGTTTTTCATTTCACCACAATCATGACAATCGGAACTGTCATCATTATAATCATCTTCATAATTACCAATACAATAATCAGTATAGCTTCTAGAAACGGTTGTTGATGATGATATAATTATTGGTATAGTAAATATTATGAATCTAATGTTTCATGTGTTTTGTGTTATAATCGTTACATAGCCACTTAAAGTAATCAATTGGTGGATCTTCTTGACTGCACGTGACATCCTTTCCAAACATTTATATTCCAAAATATTTGTGTAGATATTTAATGTTGTCGGTAAAGATAACTTGGTACAATACACGCGGATTTTCAATATATCGTAATCGAATTATTGATGATCCCTGTTTTGAGACAGATGCTTACCTGCGGACACGAAACTAAGACACAAAATAATGACGTGGATCATCGGCGATCATCGCGAAACGTTCTTTGTTCGCAGCTCTGGATTTGTACAAAAATATGTCGACAGAAGGTGCAGAACTATCGAATCATTTAGTGACGCGAGATGTCGAAACCATGTTGGACGAAACACAGGTAAAGACATCACTTGGTTTTTAACCTAACCATTTTTCTTATGGAAATGTTCACAATACATGTTACATCATAAGTATTTTCTACAAATTATTCCACTCTATAGAGCAATCGTATGGATATATTGGAGTGTCTGTCAGTTTTAATTAATGAGAATAATTCTGGGAATGATCGAACTGAAGAATTAATGTTGGATGAGCATCTATTGGGTGGTGGCACAACTTTAACAGCAGTAACATTACCTGATGGAACACAAGCATTTGTTGCTAATAATTTCAATGATGGTAAGAAATTAAGCAATACACAAGGAATATGCATGAAATGATTTATTAATGGGAAAAAAAATCATCATTTCATTTAATTGCGCATGATTTCAAGATTTAATGCATATACAAAGAGTAACATTTAAATATTGATAAGATTAGTCGTGCATTATAGCTTTTCTTTTATAATTTTTACAATTCTTTTATTAATTCTGCATATTTGTTTGTTTGATTCGCAGATATGGATTTAAAGAGGCAAGCAACGTTAGAATTGGAGAGTGGTGACACAATATTGCTTCGAGAAGTAACAGAACTTACAGAAGGCAAGCCGCTTCAACTGGAATTAGAACCAGCAACATTAGTTCAAGCTCATAACACTACCATAGAAAATGTTGGAAATTATCCATGCGTGGAATTTATCGATGGTAATGCTTATATGGTAGCCAGTCATTTGGATGTTAGCAAAGATTTGTGGGAAATTGAGGATGGTAAATTGAGGAAAAAGGATTCCAAGATTTTATTAAATAAATTGTCCACATCTAGGATAAGGCATCCTTGCCCACGGGAGGGCTGTTCAAAAGTTTATAGTACACCCCATCACCTTAAGGTAGAGATCGTTTCCTATGCTATAAATTGTAAGTCAATTCAGGTCTATTCACGATCATAGTCTCTTCTTCGATAGTCGTTCACATGAACAGCATGAACGAAAATCATTGTATGTCGTAGATGAATTTCGTTATCGTAAAAGTTTAATAAGCTTGGGGGTTATAAATAATAATAATGTTCGAGCGAATGAACCTGTTGTTTGGCTCTTGAAATTCTAATCATAATCAGTTAAAAATGTCCAGACAGTATCGTTATCATATGTAAGATAGTATTTTTAAATTAGGTTCATGAACGATCTCACACTGGTCAACGACCATATAGATGTACACATCCGAAATGTAAGAAGAGCTTTTCGACAGGATACAGTTTAAAAGCACATTTACGTACTCATACAGGAGAGAAACCTTACAAATGTCCAAACGAAACGTGCGACAAAAGCTTCAAAACATCTGGAGATTTATTGAAACATGTACGAACACATACCGGAGAACGTCCTTTCTTGTGCCCATTCAGTGGTTGCGGTAGATCTTTTACTACCAGCAACATTAGAAAGGTACGAGTTAAATGAAAACTTTGCGATAACACTGTCATCAATTAATAGAACAAATTCTATTTCGTACACATACATCGTAGGTTCACGTCAGAACGCACACCGGTGAACGGCCGTATAAATGTACACAACCAAAGTGTGGCAAAGCTTTCGCGAGTGCAACAAATTATAAGAATCATATACGAATTCATTCAGGCGAAAAACCATACGTTTGCTCGATTGAGAACTGTGGGAGGAGATTCACAGAGTATTCTAGTCTTTATAAACACCATCTCGTTAGTAATTTTGTCAATCTTTGCAATTAATTGCAATCAACGCCTCGTATTCTCGATATTTTCTTATTTTCTTAGGTTCACACGCAACAACGTCCGTTCGAATGTAAAGTTTGTTTCAGGAGATACAGACAAAGTAGTACTCTTGTGATGCACAAAAGAACTGCTCATGCGTTAGTTGATAACGATGATAATGTTGATGTTCTTTGTCAAGATTCTATTCAAGAGTCTTCTAGTCGAAACAAAGATAGACGAAAGGGAAACAGTATCCGAGATAATGGTACTCCGTCGTTAAAGGTAACTTGGAAGATATTTTGAATATATTGCATATTTTGCAATATATTTTAAAAGGTATTTTCAAATGTTTCTCCTTACATGTTTCTATATAACCAAAGATCACAGAAAAAGATGGACAAATACAGATTTCTAAAGCGATCGATGATTTAAATGATAACGAAACGCAGATTTTATTAGTCGGTGATCCTTCACAAATTGCAGCGTTACAGGTTCGTTACTTTTATTTTTGTTTCATTCATTGCCCTTAATTTTTTTCCCGGCTTGCTTTACTATGACAAATCCTATAATAATATGTGTGATTTTATTTTTACGTATTATTTATTACAGAAGATCGAATTAAATGGTGGTTTCGATGAGCCTAGTATCGATACTTCGTTTGAAGAATTAAATATAAAGATTGAAGATATAGAACTTGGCTGGCATTAATATGTTTTTAATATGGCGTATATTCTATGAATACTAAAGGAAAAACGCAAATTGTCTATCATTTCTTTTGTCTGTCTTGTCAGTTATCTCTATTGTTTATCGGGTCTCTTACGTAGATGGACGCGCGCGAGCGTGCGCACACCCACACACTTGACTTATATAATTTGTGGTCCTATAGATCTCAGCATTGGGAACTAAGGGTAACATGTGTCTATCAAATCATCGGGAATGGTTAAAGAAGAAAGGGTTTCATTCATTTGTTAATTAGTACAAAAATGTATCTAGAAATACGTTTCATCATAATCTACAAATAAATTAAATTGGAATTTTTAATCAATCTCTTTGACTACACGATAGTACAAAAATGATTACGTTGAAAATTTCCTTTGCACAATATTCTTATTTCTATCTCGATCGATTTTATACATACTACAAGTTTCATTGTTGTATATTTACAGTCAATAACTCGGGTTAATTTCTTCCGTCGTATTGCTCTTTCGTACAACGAATATTTCAAATCATAGATATATTACGAAATTTGTGATAATATATATAAAATTTCAAAATATAAAATACAATTGATAAAAAAATTTTAAGTGGTAGAAATTTGTCGAATTTAATAAAATGTAATATCCCTGATTGTACCCTATTATATCTTTCTACGAACATTTGATTTATCATAGACATTAATATATCGTACGGAATAAGATTGAAAATTTCTGATAAACTGGAATCAGAAATTTGATTGCATTCTTCGAGAAGTAGGAGGAAATGAGATGTGTAAATTATTTGTAAGCGGTTGTACTCGTTAGGCGTGAACGGAGAATATCAATTGTTATTAGCACGAGTTTACTAACCAAATAACTATATTAACATGTTCAGGTACTAAATTGAAATTTTTCAGAGAGATCGTACCAGTTACATCCGAACGCCGTATCGATTTTAAATTTTGCACGCGAAACCGAGGATCGTAGTATTTTTTCCTTTATTTTTGTCTCTCCTCTTCGCTTCTTAGGCATCCTTCTTCTATCGTGTCTGTTTCCATTTTTTATCTTTCTCATTCATATAACCATTTTACTGCATTACTTCTCTAAGTAATCTTAACGTACTTGCAATAGTTTTGTTGTTATTCTTGTCATTTTACAGATTCTTTTTTTAAACCGAACTTAATTTCGTTTCTAAATGTACCGCGATAAGGTAAAGGAATGATTTCCACGCGTATATTTTAACTGATTTTTCGAAATTAATCTTTTTTACGCGAATCTGTTGTCCTTGACGCTTAGCATTCTTAACGACACACTTTTAAGCAAGGGTCGTTTGAAGTTACTCCCGAAAGTAGTAACTTCAGTAGCAGGTGGAGCACGTGATCGGTCATGCAAGCGACCAGTTTTTGTCTTTCCTTCTTTCACCAAAAGAATAATATTCTCATGTTATTGCGCGTAGTTGTGGTTGAACCGACTTATATTAATAATAGGTAAAACTTGGGAACTTGGGTAGCTTAATAAATCAGTGATTTCATCGTTATTATTTGCAACAAGTGTTAAAGAAAAATTACAAGAGGATTGTTCATTTTCTTTTTTCCCTAC